GTACCCTCAAAATCCGTCTTCAATCCTTTCCCCCGAAACCAAGCCCAGCACACAACAGGGCACTCAAGCCCGGAACTGACCCGAGCTTCCCCGCCACACCATTAGCTTCCCCATAGGGATAGGTGGATAGGGACAATCAATCAATCAATCAATAGGTTTTATTCGTACTAACAGTACATGCCCTGGTCCCGCATAGCATCACCAGGACAATGAATACAAAGATATAAAATTTACAAGATTATATTAATAACAAGTAGAATACTATACATTTATGTAGAAAGTGGAAACACTAAATACATCGCAACTCGCGTGTAGAGAATGATCAAAGTAATCAGGCAGCACTTATGCCTGAATAAGTTAGCTGTGTATGTTTTTACAGCAGTGGTTAAATATTTGTTTAGAAAAGTACTTAAAATAATTAAAAATGTCACTGTTGGTGAGAAGTCTATATAACTCACAGGGCCAGGTAATGTCATATTTTTTAAGAGTACATATAAGTTTAATCCTTTCTCGTTGAAAGATAACACAATGATAAAGATAGTGAGTGGGTCCATCTTCAGTATCACATTCCGTGCATTTATTATTGTTTTTGTTGGCAAATCTTGCCAAGTAATTAGCATATTTCCCATGATTTGTCATGACTTGGCTTGTATAGTAGTCTGGTGTAATCCAGCTAGTGTTGATAAAGTTATCAAGTTTTCGAATAAACTTATGCGTTATATGATCTGGGTTTCTATCCCATATATTTTGCCACAATTGTATTGTATCTTGCTTAAGTAATCTTCTTAATGTCCGTTGACTAAGTTTTCTGTAAATTATTTGTTCATTGTCAAGGTAGGTTGCAGATTTGGCTAATTCATCAGCCCTCTCGTTCCCTTTTATGCCCTGGTGGGCTCTCACCCAGTTTAAGAATATTTGGCAATTGGATGATTTTATGTCTCTCCTAATAGGCTCAGCCAATGGGTGTAGTTTGGGACTCATCAATATGTTATAGTCTGAGAGAGAATCCGTGTTTATAGTGGCAGTGATGTTATGATAAGTTCTATTGATAAGTTCTACAGCCTTGCCTATGGCCAAGAGTTCCGCTTGAAAGACAGAACACCTATCGTCAAGTTTATAAGTTTCATTAGCAACTTCATTTTCATTATCATATACTACCATGCTGCACCCTACATTCCCTTCCAGTTTGGACCCGTCAGTAAATATATTTATACTGGAATTTCCAATATCATTTCTTGGGTTAATTCCTTGTCCAATGGAAGATAGCGTGTTTCTGAAGGGAAAACTCCATTCTATTTCATCTTGTGTGTATATTGCAGTATTTACTTCAATGTCTTTTCCCCATTTAATATGGTAAAATTTTTCTTTTTCCAAAATAGTTAAGTCAAGTGGGGGTTTCTTTGCCAGAACCTGTAGGCAACTGTTACTTACTGTGCGAAAAGATTTCTTGATCAGGAGCAATGCTCGTCTCTGAGAAGATATCAACTTGCGCTTGACGTGTACTTTTTGGGTTGCCCAACCCCAAGATCCACAAGCATATGTTGTGACAGGGAGGAAGACACAGTCATATATGATAGACATAGCCTCTGCGCTCAGTCCCCAATCTTTCTTCGCCACCTGCGCATATGTGTTCATGATTAACCCAGTTCGTGTGGTTACATATTTGATGTGGCTATCCCATGAAAGCCTAAAATCCAATATTACTCCAAGGTATTTAATATTTTTTTTTATTTTTATAGTACAGCTGTTCATTTTGATGCGTGGAGGCCTTAGGTATAGATTTTGCTGTCCACTTTTATTAAAAACTATGCCTTTAGTTTTAGCTGGGTTAAATTTCATTCTATGTGTCAATCCCCAGTTATATATTTGCTGTAATATGTTGTTTCCTTTGTCCTCAAGGTCAGCCCTGGATCGACCCCCCCACCAACAGAAAAACATCATCAGCATATGCTATGGAGTAGTGTTGCCCAAAATCGCTTTGCAAAAAGGTGTCAAAGGAAAGGTTCCATAGCAGAGGTCCACAAACGGACCTCTGTGGACAACCTCTCTGTATATTCTTAATAACAAAGTGTTCACCATAATCCAGTTGTGCAGTCCTTTCATGTAAATAGTCCTGTAATAACTTTAAAATATTTCGAGGGCATTTAATTTTCCTAAGCTGATATGTGATGAGGGGCCACCAGACACTATCAAAAGCTTTTGATATATCCAGGCTGACCCCGAGGACATACCTATGCGTATCCAAAAGATGTTTAACAGTATTAGTCACTTGTTGTATGGCGTCTTCAGCGGACCGTTGTGGTCAGAAGCCATATTGATATTCACTGATCAACCTGTTTTTCTCCACGTGCCACATCAATCTGTTGTTCAATAGTTTTTCCAAAACTTTCCCCATAACCGGCAAAAGAGATATTGGCCTAATATCTCGTGCAGACCCTGGTTTAGGCATGGGGATTACTTCAGCTGATTTCCATTCCCTAGGGAATATTCCCAACTGCAAGCAGGTGTTATACATATTAATTAATTGTTGTGGAATTAAGGTCCATATGCCTTTCACTATATCTGAAGTAATGTTATCGAGGCCAGGGGCCTTGCCCCTCCCTAAAGTATTAATGGTATAGTTGATTTCTTCTGCAGTAAATGGCTCTGCATCATCAGTATGTTCAAGTTTGTTTTTATCTTCTCTTAATTGTTTGTGCCATTCAGTGTCCTCAGTAGTGTCGTCATCGGGGCAGAAAGAATTTAATTTCTCCATTAAAGTATCCACAACAGATTTAGGGTTTTCATCATTACAGGAGGAAACAAGAATCTGTGTTTTTCGGAGTTTATTGCTACAAAGACGTGTAACAAAACCCCATGGGTTAACTGACGACTTGGTGCAGAAGTCCCTCCAACCATTTACCTTGCTATCTCTGATCGCGTTTTTATATTCTTGCTGTTTCTGTAAGTAGGCCTCTTTATTCGTCATTCTAGTGTTTTCATCATTACATCGTTGGTATTTCCTTCTTGATTGTCTTGTCTCTTTTCTAAGATTAGTAAGTTTCAAGTTCCACCAAGGTACATTTCTTTCTTTTGGTTTCTTCATGGGTATAAAAGTTCTGCAGGCCTGATCAATAACTGCAATGTCTTGATTCAATTGCTCCCTAGCCTCCAAAGGGTGTTCAGAATAGGTTTCAGTCATGTTATGGGATAAAAACTGTTTCATTCCTTCCCAATCCGCTCTATTTGCAATGTACCGGTAGCGTTTAAAGTGATGCTGTGTGTAAGAGCAATCATTATTAGTCAAATCGAATGCAATGTATGCATGTTCTGTGAGACTTGGCTCATCAAGAATTCTCCAGTTCACAATCCTAGGAAATAAGTTCTGACTACATGCGGTGACATCAATCCAACTTTCCCCTCTACTCGAGGAGAAAGTCGGNTCCAAAAGATGTTTAACAGTATTAGTCACTTGTTGTATGGCGTCTTCAGCGGACCGTTGTGGTCGGAAGCCATATTGATATTCACTGATCAACCTGTTTTTCTCCACGTGCCACATCAATCTGTTGTTCAATAGTTTTTCCAAAACTTTCCCCATAACCGGCAAAAGAGATATTGGCCTAATATCTCGTGCAGACCCTGGTTTAGGCATGGGGATTACTTCAGCTGATTTCCATTCCCTAGGGAATATTCCCAACTGCAAGCAGGTGTTATACATATTAATTAATTGTTGTGGAATTAAGGTCCATATGCCTTTCACTATATCTGAAGTAATGTTATCGAGGCCAGGGGCCTTGCCCCTCCCTAAAGTATTAATGGTATAGTTGATTTCTTCTGCAGTAAATGGCTCTGCATCATCAGTATGTTCAAGTTTGTTTTTATCTTCTCTTAATTGTTTGTGCCATTCAGTGTCCTCAGTAGTGTCGTCATCGGGGCAGAAAGAATTTAATTTCTCCATTAAAGTATCCACAACAGATTTAGGGTTTTCATCATTACAGGAGGAAACAAGAATCTGTGTTTTTCGGAGTTTATTGCTACAAAGACGTGTAACAAAACCCCATGGGTTAACTGACGACTTGGTGCAGAAGTCCCTCCAACCATTTACCTTGCTATCTCTGATCGCGTTTTTATATTCTTGCTGTTTCTGTAAGTAGGCCTCTTTATTCGTCATTCTAGTGTTTTCATCATTACATCGTTGGTATTTCCTTCTTGATTGTCTTGTCTCTTTTCTAAGATTAGTAAGTTTCAAGTTCCACCAAGGTACATTTCTTTCTTTTGGTTTCTTCATGGGTATAAAAGTTCTGCAGGCCTGATCAATAACTGCAATGTCTTGATTCAATTGCTCCCTAGCCTCCAAAGGGTGTTCAGAATAGGTTTCAGTCATGTTATGGGATAAAAACTGTTTCATTCCTTCCCAATCCGCTCTATTTGCAATGTACCGGTAGCGTTTAAAGTGATGCTGTGTGTAAGAGCAATCATTATTAGTCAAATCGAATGCAATGTATGCATGTTCTGTGAGACTTGGCTCATCAAGAATTCTCCAGTTCACAATCCTAGGAAATAAGTTCTGACTACATGCGGTGACATCAATCCAACTTTCCCCTCTACTCGAGGAGAAAGTCGGTGGGGAAAGTGGATTATTAATTACCAGTAAGTTATTCGTGGCAAGAAACTCCTCAAGTATGCCTCCCCTGGGATCTTGATTGTCGCCACCCCACATCGGGGAGTGGGCGTTAAAGTCACCAGCCAGCAAAATAAGAGTATCTTTAAATGCATTTATAATGTTCTGTAGTTTCCTTAAAAAGTCCTGTACCTCTGTTTCTCTCGGAAAGTAAACATTAATAAGAATAATTCTTTCGTTATTGACCATTAGTTCGGTAGTAATAACATATTCATCACAATAATATTCATGTTGCATGATTGACAGCCCAGTATTCGGAACCAGTGTAGTAGACCAAGGATACTTCTCAGAACCGGTAATAACTGGACAATAAGTGGGTAAACAGGATGGGGAGTTATCACGACAGTAAGGCTCCTGTGCCATTATCAAATCAAAATGCAGTAATTGTTCACAGAGTAAAGAAGTGGCAGCTATACTTCTACCCNACCAAACATCTTTATACACTTGTCAGTGATAGACGTGACATGTAGCGTAATACTCATATTGGCCCCAAAATGTATACCAAGATACTTAACCGAGTCAGCAACCCTAATAATATTATTACCAAGCCTGACCCTTGGCGGCCGATCCTTGCTCATAATACCTTTCAGTAAAATCGCCACCATCTTATCAACCGACAGCTCAAGTTTGTTAGCCAATAACCAATTATTCAGCAATATAACCCATTTATCACCATGGGACTCCAGCTCTCTCCTCGAATTACCGGATATTATTAAAACCAAATCATCAGCATAAGCAATATAATTGACACCATAACTATTAAAAATCCTTAGGACACCATCAAAAACCAAATTCCAGAGGACAGGTCCCAAGACCGACCCCTGAGGACATCCCCTATTTACCTTCTTTACCACCTTTAGGTTGGCTTCCTCGTAAACCACCTCTCTTCTTGACAGATAGTCCTTTAATAACCTATATAAATCATTAGGACACTGCCTATACCTTAATTCACTCATAATCGAGGGTCACCATAGGTGATCAAAAGCACCTTTAATATCAAAAAATATACCTAATACGTACTTGCTACAAGACTTATCAACCAGCTTTCTAAGACGCATCAGCGCATCATCTGTCGAATAACCTTTTTTAAAACCATATTGATAATCATCATTATAACCCTTGATAACAGACTCTAGTCTGTACTTAATAATACGTTCCATCACCTTACCCAATAAAGGGATTAAACAAATAGGCCTATACGACCTCGGATTAGTCTTATTTTTATTACCACCTTTATAAATAATTACAACCTTCTCCTGTTTCCAACAATTAGGGCAGACACCATACACCAAGCATGCCTGATACAGGCGCCTCAAGTGAGGCTTTAAAATACTATAACTTTCCTTAAGTACCTCGTACGTAATACTATCGGCCCCAGGGGCCTTCCTTCCCCTGGAGGCCTTAGTGGCTATGTCAACATCATTATTACCAATATCATCGACATGCCCACCACCATTATACTCATGCACCATATCCCTAAGTACACTATGTGTACTGTCATCCTCTTGCTCGTTATCATTGGGAAACAGGGAACCCAATAAAAAATTAACCACATCTGACCAGTCATATAGTTACCTATTACCACTTTTCATATTAACCAATACCTGATTAGTCTTGAGCTTATTCATTAAAACCTTGTAAGGGGTGCCCCAGGGGTCACCTTTAGTCTTAGCACACACATACCTTTTCCAACTCTCCTCTCTAATAGCTTTTAGCCTGACCTTATAGGCCTTCCTCTTATTAATATATACCTCTTTTAGATTATTTCGTGTCTCATTATCAGAACACCTTTGAAATGCCCTCCTACTTTTATTAACCTGCCTTTTAAGGCTATTCAGCTCATTGCACCACCACCTAGGAGCCCTGTGCTTCCTCATCACCTTAGGAATAGCACAAACCATAGCATCTTTAATGCTGCACTGAATATGAGTGCAATACCTTATCACCTCATACTTGTCCTCTATAATTTCAAAGTTTTTAGATAACAAATTTTGCCCCAGTTTTTGCCGAAACTTGTGCCAATTCACACTCAAAAAGCCAAAAGAGCCTAAAGAACACCACTGAGGATCAAGTACCTTACCTACATTGTACTCATAGATAATTAAACCATGCTCACTAGTAGTGTCATGCACCATATACCAATTATCAATAACCACATCCTTAGTAGTGAGGGTCAAATCAATATAAGAACTACCCCTACTAGAAATAAACGTGGGACCTGCCTCTGGATCATTAACACATACCAAGTCCCATTTAAGGATCGTCTCCAATAAAAGAGTACCCCTATCATCGGTAGTCTCACTGCCCCAAAGAGTAGCCTTAGCATTACCATCCATACTTATAATAATATTCTCACCACGCAGCTTCCCCAGGATACACTCCAACTCTCTTATACTATTATTTATATCACCACTAGGTGGACAATATAGACTTACCATATACACCTTCATACCATCTCCCATGACCTGTGCTATAGCACACGTTGGGGATGAGAGGCTCTGAATATCCAACACTGCCCACTTTTTGTTATACAAAATAACAGCCGCCCAGGGCTGAGTCTGGGCGCACCGGAAGTGGACAGTCTTCACCTTACTACCAAACCCAAGTACCTTGCCTGGAGCTGCATATGGTTCCTGAACCAGGGCAATATCTACCCCATAATGAGTCACCACCTTACTAAGCTCTCCCGGGACAGATCGACTCCGATCCATATTAATTTGAGCTAATTTTATAATATTATTATTCGGACTACTGTCCATAATCAATTTTAGAAAGATACCTTTCCAAGGCCATTTTATAAGAGAGACAATCCTTGTCCCTTAAATTGTGTTTATGGGGTTTTCCCATTTGTTTGCATGTTATACATGCTATTTCTGACACCTCAGTTTTACACTCAGGGCCTTTATGCCCAGACTTACCACATTTGCTGCAGATTAAAACTGCTGCACCACAGTGCTTTGCCACATGCCCAAATTTTTGGCATTTATAACATAGGGTTACCTCGTGGTAATCCCTAACCACACAACTTCTATAACCAATATAAATGCGACCACATTGTAATAATCTTACCCTTAAATTGGGTGCTACTTCGGCTACCCAATCAGTAAGGCCTTCTCTCTTGCAGCCAGTACAATATACCAACCTAAAATCTGATTTAAATTTATCAATTGACACCTCCTCACCATAGAGCGTGTCACTATTAAGATCTATAATATGATCAATTACCTCATCCATAGACAAACCCTTGGGAATGTCCTTAATCACCAATCTCGGCTGACGCTTAGTCGGTTGCTCCACAATCAGCTCACCTTCCATAAGATTTTTGTAACTTAATATCTTTCCAAGATCACCCTTACTGGCTAGAGTGACAACAATACCATTAGTACGCATCTTCCTAATGCTACCAATTCTTACCTTATCTTTCCTTGGATTAATATTCTTTAAGAAACTTTCCTTTATAACTTCACTATTCATATCAGTTTTCTTACTTTTCACGAGAAGCACAGCTTTTTCTTTACCACCAATTCCACCTTTAATCTGTCCCTGAACCTTACCTGTTAAAGGGACATTAACCTTAGTCACTTGAGAATAACTAGGCTTATCTCTATAATCTTTTTCCAGCTCACATTTTACCTCTTTTACCGTTCTTACCTGTGCTTTAAGCACCTCTTTCTCAGTAACCAATACCTGCACAATTTGTTGTGCTTCTGTCATAAACTCCATGATTTTACTAGCCAATATTTGACTAATCCTACTACCTTTTTCATAACACATTTTATGTACCTCAAGCATCATCTGATGCATTTTTTCATTGTAATCATATATCTTACCAGATAACCTTTTACCATCAATATCGATGCCCTCAATGACCGAGTCCGAAGATCTACGGCCAGACAACCTTCCTCCGTCTCCTCCTGTCACCACCCTAGGAATTTTTGTTTTAGTTGAAGAATCCATGCTTTAGGATGTACTGGGGGGTGATAACCGGTCACTTATGGCGTAGCCCCCCTGCACCATGGGAAGGCAAACGTACAACGGGGATTCGCCAGGTCACCCGAGGGGATCGTTAGTGACACCAAGATTTATTCGTCGCCTAGGTGCCATCCAGCCCTTAGCACGATACCTCCCACCTTGGCTTAAGCGACCGCCGCTGTACCCTTAGCTTCCCATGATATCTCAGGGGGCATGAGCTTTGGCCATACCCCCTGTTATACCAAAGTACTAAGCCCCCTCGCCACGACTAGGCGGGTACAGTCAACGATTATATTGGGGGGGGTGGATAGGGACAAGCGTCCCAACAGTCCAAAACCATACTCGCTGCATATGTAAAAAACTTCTCGGCGGAATTACTAATAACTAAATACTACCCTTACCAAAAGAGTTTAAACTACCTACAACCTGAATCTTAAGATAAAACTGGACAACAATAAAATATAAAATAAAAGATAAAATAACAAACTTTTATTTAAAAAACCGTATATCACACCTCTTTAAAAACATCTCACGCAATACAGGAAAAACCATTTTATAAATATCTTTAACAAGAACTAACTTACGAACATAATGTTCGCTATTAAAACCATTTCGCAAGTATATAGACGACACCCGTATATCTGATAGCAGTGGGCACATGAACATAAAATGATAAAGAGTATCCGCAGATCCACATTCACAAATATTTGACCCCACCAAATTAAAACCAAACAATTTATCTTTAAAATCCCGATGACCCGAGAGAACTTGACAAACATAAAAATCAGGTAAAACCCATTTAGCCTTCAGCCTATCAAAAACAGTAGGAAAATAAACCGCTGTTTGCCTTCCCTTAATATCAGTTATCCATCTATTATTCCACACACACACCATTTCTGTCCTGATAAGTCGCTTAACCCGCGACATCGACACATCGCCACATGCTGAATCATACCTTAAGGAACCCAAAGAAAAAGAGATACCTGATCGTAAAAGGGAGCAATAATACTTATAGCGAACTTCCAAGTCTAAAGGTAATTCACCTGCAATTACATTTAACGCACTAGTTGAAGTTGTCCGATATGCCCTTGTTAACAACAAGAGAACCACACGTTGTGCCTTCAAAAGCTTTGTCCTGTGAGGGGACCCGAGCGCGTCGCTTCACACACCAGCGGCATAAGTAACCACTGGCACAAACAGGAGTCTGTAGAGAACCCTCAGGGCAGGAAGCCGCAGCCCCCACCCCGAGCCCCACAGCCCCTGCAGTGCACAGAACTGGGCAACTGCTTTATTAGTGATATCCTCTATGTGGCCTGTGATATTCAAACCAGTACCAATCTTTATGCCTAAATACCTATAAGCATTAACCATATGTATCACTGTGTTACCCATTCGCACGCTGGGGGGACGATCCGGGCTCAGAGAACCCCTCAGAAGCAACATAACTGTCTTACCCAAAGCCAACTGAAGCTTCAATGCTGACAACCGCCCCTGAATATATCGGAGAATTTCACTACTTTTAACTTCTAACTCCCTACGGTTATTACCCTCTACTAATATAACCAAATCATCTGCATAGGCGATATATCGCAATCCACATTCTCTTAAACCTACCAGGACCTTATTAAAAACAATAATCCATAAAAGCGGACCTAACACAGAACCTTGAGGACAACCTTTATTGACCTCCCTACTATAAATTAACCCACCATGAGAATAAGAAACAATTCTATGATAAAAATAATCCCGCATCACCCTATATAAATCTATAGGGCAATTTCTTTCAGGCAAAGCTGAAAGCACTGCGGGCCACCATATGTTATCAAATGCTCCAGCTATATCACAGAATAAACCAAGTACATATTTTTTAGATGACTCATGTGTCCACTTCCATAGGCACCTAACTGCATCCTCAGTCGATAAACCCTTCCGAAAACCAAATTGATAAGTATCAATGCTATCCCAACATAATTCTTCTATCCTTAATCTTAATAATCTTTCATATATTTTTCCAATTACTGATAATAAGCATATCGGCCTATAAGATTTCGGGATACTACGATCTCTGTCTTTACTTTTAAGTAGCACAATAACCTTAGCTATTTTCCATCTTTTAGGAAACCTACCTGTTACTAGACACATATTATATAACCTCAATAGCACTTTACTTAATATAGGATAGAGTTGCTTAATCATCAAATAAGTTATTCCATCATAACCAGGAGCTTTTCTACCTTTCAACCCTTGAATTACCAAATCTAACTCCTGCATTGAAAATGGCTCCGTTAACATATCATTATTATATAACACGTTATCTACTCTTATCCTAGTTTGATCCAAAGAATCATTCAAGGGAATATCTTCTGGGAACAACACTCTAAATAATTCCTCTATCGAATCTTTTCAATCAATTGTATATCCTACACCTAATTTAACTGAACATAAAACTTCCTTCATATGTATCTTTTCCCGAATCAATTTATATGGAGTACCCCAAATATCTCTATTACCAATAGCCTCCACAAAGTTTCTCCAACTTATCCTTTTTGCTTCTCTAATCTTATATTTGTACTCTACATAACTTTGCCTAAACTCTTCCAACTTAACTTGTCTTAATACTAACTCTCTCTCCCTTTGAAATACTCTACGCAAACGAAACACTTTCCTTCGCAACTTATCTAGCTCCTCAGTCCACCATGTTGATCGATAATTATATTTTTTCTTTTTCATTATGATACTATCAATAGCCTTCCGAACAGCCCTATATAAAATATTATCCACACTATCAACATCTAAACTTTCTATACATGCTAAAATATTAGAATCCCCAACATATTTAGAAACTATCCCACTAAACTTACTCCAATTTGTATTTTTCTTAGTTAAACATTCTATACTAGAACCTCTATATCCACAATAACCATATCTCACGGAATACCTTATCAAGGCATGATCTGACGAAGTAAAAGAGTGAGAAACTTGACAATCACCTATATAGTTACGCAAAGATGTCGAGTACAAAACCACATCCACAAATGACGAACCTTGCGTTGACTGAAATGTTGGTATCAAGTTTTGTGTATTAAGAACGCTATATCCCCATCTACCACAAACCGCAACCAATTCATCACCTCTATCATCAGAGACAGCCGTCCCTCGTTGTCCAAATTTTGCCGTCCCTGTCGTTAGACGCACCGGCATACAATCTCCTAATATCTTAAATACTATATCACCGTTAAAACCAACTAAAATAAACCTAAAATACAGGACTGTTCATAAATTAATATCCACATCTCTTACTTATTTAAAGAATATATAAACAATTAAAAGAAAAATAAAATAAGAAAACAGAAAATAAAAATGAAGAGCTAACTTCTACATATAGTTCTAAGTTCTTGCCTATATCTTAACATCTTTTCAAAAACATTCATAAATTTGTTATATATCAGTTCATTTCTAATTATAACCCAAGGATTTTCTAAAATATCATCAATATTAAAATCTTGTATATCTCTTAAATTAAAATATATAGGACATTCATATAAAAAATGAGGTAAAGAATCAATTCTACCACATTCACAGTTTGGAGAATCGACAAGAGACAAAGCAAACAATCTTTCCTTAAAATCTCCGTGTCCAGACACAATCTGACACGAATAAAAATTTGGAATAACCCAATGTGCCCCCAGCCTGTCCCCAACAGTCCGAAAGTACCCATAGGTTATCCGACCACGTTGTT